CATACATGGCAGTGAGAGAGGCAAATACTGAACACGTTCATGCATAAGTGTGCGAATGAAAGTGAAAGTTGGGGGGCGGGCTGAGGTAGTCCAGGCGTGCTATGTTATAGCTAGGAAGGTCAGCAACAGGGAGCTCCGAGAAAGTGAACCGTGACCAGACAGCTGAGGGAAGTGAGAGGACTGAGCCATGAGAAGAGGGAGAACAGTGCTTTCCAGCAAGGAAGCGACAAATCCAAAGATCCAAGACCGAGATGGGCTCAGCGTGGCTCCCGATGCCCGGGGGTGAGGGAAGGAGAGGGAGGTGGGCAGGGGCTAGCTCACACAGAGGCTCATTGGCGATGGCGGGTAGTTTGGATTTTATTTTACTTTATCTTTTAATCATTTCATTGGGAGCTCTTACAGATATTGTAACAATCCATAATTCAATTGGATTTTATTCTAATTTGGGAAGTTATTGGATCATTTTGAACAGAAAGATGACATGAAATAATGTTTTCAATAACTCATTCTGTATGTTCATAGTTGGAGAGGACTTCTGTTTTCCAAAGAATGCTTTAAAATTGCAACCACAGTATGAAGGGAAAGAGAATACATAAGCTCAGGCGTTCTAACCTATATCCAGTGTTTACTCTGGAAAGGCTCCCAGGGCAGAGCACGTAACTTGATAATGTTCCATGCAAACCTTACAAACTCCAAATAAGTGCAAGCCTTCTCTGTAACCAGGGAAAGAGCCCCCTGGATGTAGTGAATGCCATGACCAACCATGCCCAGGGGGACTGAAAACACATTCTTAGTGATAGCACTAACTTGGAATTAATTAATTAATATCTTCATTTTACAGAGGATTTGAAGTGAAAAGATACAGAAAATAGAAAAATAGAATGAATAGTTGAGGGAATGAGGCTAAAAGATGATCGAAGTGATGGCAGGGGGTGGGTGGGGGAGGACAGAGTAAACCCAAAAGTAAGATCTTATGCATTGCATGTGGCCCATAAATGTGGTTCTAAACTTCTTTGTTGCTCTGGTACCAAATTCATAGCATTGATTATGGTGCGACAAATGTACTGCTTCAGAAGAGAACAGCACCTTCTCCTTCAGATTTCAAGAGACATTTCTCCTGTGCAGGTGGCTTGGAGTAGCTTTATATAAAGAGTAATTGTACATTAAGAAAACATCCCAGCCCAGTGCAGATCAAGCCCATAAGTCCGATATTAGCCCATATGTCTGATACCAATCTATAAAGTCCTCTTCAGACTCATGAAACACATGCAGTGACACCGAATGCAGGAGGGTCACAAGCCAGTGGGTGGGAAGTCTTGTGGGTCCAGTGGCAGTGCAAGCATCTCAGCACTGGCAGGGGTCTCCACGTGGCTTCTCTAGTTCAGGGCACTAGTGTAGCTCCATGTGTCTTGTCAGCTGCAATGTCTCCCCAGGAGTGAACCTGCACCCCACCTCCAGCAAACTACTTATCTCCGTAGCACCTCTAAATGAGGTCGTCAAGATGTGACATGATTGACAGGCTAAACTCCACCCTTTCACTCTTAATCCTCTCACATTGACAACAGATTATATAACTACCACATGTAGTAAACAGTAGGTCCAATTATCCATCACAATTAATATGTTAATGAACCTTTTATGTGGTTCCTGCTGCAAGCTTTGCAATTCAGTTCAAACAGACAAGTAAAATGCTGACTGAGGATTTACTTTGGATTCAGGAATCAAGCTCTTGGTCTCAGTTAATTGTCAGAAAGATGAGTGGACCACCTATCCATCAGCACACCTAGGGAATATTGTCACCCACAACCAGGATCTCAATAAGAATTCAACAGCCAGGGTCCCAGAGCTAACTTCCTGATGGTACAGCATCATGAGTTAAGATTGTGGACTTTATAAGCAACTGAAAACCAGACTCACTACCATCGAATCAAGTCCAAGTCACAGCGATTCCACGGGACAGGGTAGACCTGCCCCTTGAGGCTTCCAACTGTGGACAGGAGTAGAAAGCGTCATCTCTCTCCCATGGAGTGGCTGGGGGCTTCAAACTAGCTTTACCCTCCGTCTTGTTGTTCGTAAGAGAGAATACTAACAGAACTTGTTTAATGAGTGTGCTATAATGATTAGCACGGCAGTTCTCAACCTGTGGGTCGTGACCCCTTTGAGGGTCGAACGACCCTTTCACAGGAGTCTCCTGATTCATAACAGTAGCAAAATGACAGTGATGAAGTAGCAACAAAAATAATTTTATGGTTGGGGGGTCACCACAACATGAGGAACTGTTTGAAAGGGTCACAGCATTAGGAAGGTTGAGAACCACTGGGTTAGCTGAAATACAAGGGGGCTTCAAAAAGTAAATGATAATGACGTTTTTTCCCATGAGTTTTCTAAAGTCCCTGGAAATGTTTGTAGCACACAGTGCCAGGTGCATAGGCTGTGTTCTATGGCTGGAAGTTTGGAGTGGGGTGGATGATCAGCTTAACAAGAAGAACGTGAAATAATAACTCGGGAGCCCACCGAAGGCGGATACAAGCATGCGAGTAAGACTTGAGATTCTCCTACTTAAAGGTCGTCACCCAAAAGAGTGGTCCTGTAGCTAGAGCCAGAATCATCTCAGATAATCGGTACTTGGGTGGGAACCACGTGACAGTTAATGGTCCTTAGTCAATAGCACAACAGCTGGAGAGCAGTCGCATCATTAGCCTGAAAGCTGAAATGAGTGAGCTGGCTGTTCCCGGTGGTGGCAGTGGGAGATCGTCTCTCACCGGGGAATACTAACACCTGCTACTCATTGCTCTTTAAAATGTTCATTTAGGTCGTGATGAAGCAAAAGTAAAACATATTCAAAAGTACCTCCAGGCTGTAGGAATGTTCCGGGATTTCAGTGACTCCGCACAGGACCCAGACTTCTCCGAGGTACGAGCCTCCCTCCTCCCTTCCGCCAGGCTGTGCTGTACTGTGGATGCTCACTGTTGGGGTACACTCGAAGGAATCTAGCCAAGCCAGGGCCTTAATCAAAGACAGGCTTGTTCTGAGCATCGTGAAGCTTACGTTCTAGGGACGTCGTCCCTTTCCCTTTCCAGAGGACGGCTCCGCTGCTCCCCAGCAGGAGGTGTGGAGGCGAGACTTCCCGGGGATGAGGGCCGTGTGAAGGCTCAGCCGTCGTTTTCTTTTTCTTTCTTTCTTTCTTTCTTTCTTTCTTTCTTTCTTTCTTTCTTTCTTTCTTTCTTTTTTTTATGAATTAAGCACAAAATTTATTTCCAGTTTCCTCAAAGATTATCACAAATACAAAATACTCTTTGAAAAGTATCCCAAACCAAATCAAAGGAACTTAAAACAATGCCAAATCTGCTTCAGACAGAAGATGAGGCAGCCTAATATACAACACAACACCACGAGTCTGAGCAGCAACACTCCCATGCTGAGTGTTAAAAGTAAAGCTCTTCATGCAGAAAACTCAAGGCATCACTTAGTAAAGCCTGTTCTTCCCCAAGTCTTCATTCCGGCAGTCCTTTCGATTATGAACTCCTGACTCACTGTTACAACTCAGTTCTTATGAAGCCTATTATATTAAAAATACAAGGTACACACAATGGTTCCTGATAACCAGTGGGAACTACTTTACAATGTGCATCAAAGCATTATTATTATTATTATTATTATTATGGTTTACTATTTTATTATGTCAAAGATGCTTTATTATCTGGAAGTGTTTCTTTAATGTTTTATACAGAGAAAAGTACACTGTATACTAAGACAAACAATTGACCGAGCAATGTTACACATGAGCCTAACTGTTCGACACAGGTAAAATTGAACTTAAAGACAGACCTAGGAATGGAATTCGTTCAAAATCTGGGGACTGCCTATACTTGCTTATCTTCATTTGGAAATGCGAAAAGAAATTTTGTTATGGTATAAAAACCTTATGGAAAATTGTAAATACTCTATTTTAAAAAATAAACAGAAATATTTTCCTCTTTAAAATGTAAATATCCAATAAATAAAACATGGTACTCCAGGCATAGAAAAAACAGCAATTCCCTTATGGAAAAGATATAGTTGGGTAAGTTTGATGGCAAGCTTTCCGTTTGTCCTCAGTGTAATGCACTTCGCCAAAAGAAGCAGGCCATTATTCTGTAAAGACTTACTCTTTCTTAACTGAACAGGAAGACATCAGTTCCTATAGAATTTTAGCTACAGTACCAGGCCACGGGAAAGGTCTCAGAGCTGAACGTTGTTTGGCTAGAGAAATGTCTCGGAGGCAGGCGGTCACCAATCCGTACTTGAAGCTTTCCCCAGCGATCTGCTTCCTTCCTAGTCTTCAGAGGAAAGCACAGGCCCTGGGCTCCCGGAAGGGGTTGCTTCCTGCTGGAACCCCGACCAGTAGGGCATCCTTGCAGGTATTCTGCATGCAGCACTGTTGAAGCTCTGCAGCTGCCTGAGAAACCTTGATCCCCTCCATGCTGGCTTCCAGCTTGAGCTGCTCCACCGGGCACTGCAGGGCGTTCATGCTGGGCCTGCAAGACATGGCAGCGGCGCGGGGATCCGAGGGGGGTGTGCAGGGATGGCCCAGCTGCAAGGCCCCAGCCCATCGTTTTCACAGAGGAGGAGAGGACTTGAAACATGGAGGGTGAACACCGAGCTTGGTGCTATGCATCCAGCGATCAGAGAGTCTCCCTTTGTCGGGTTTGTGGTTTCAAGGGTGCAAACGGAATTCACATTTGGTTCACCGCTAGCACTAAAGGGTAAACTAGATGTGGGGCCTTATTTTGTTTTCTTTCATACTGACGGGAAACTCAAAACACTCAGACTTGCTCCCCTGGGTTTGATTTTTGAGTCATCGCAGCGACCCCATAGGATAGAGTAGAACTGCCTTGGTGGAATTCCAAGATCTCGCTAGATGAGAGTAGAAAGCCTCCTCTTTCTCTCACAGAGAGGCTGCTGGTTTTGAACTGCTGACCTTGTAGTTAGCAGTCTAATGCATAACCCACTCCACTGACACCCAGGGAAGGAATTTGCCCGTTAGACTAAGGTAGGCACATTTCTTGACATTGGTGGCTTGATGCTTCGATTCTGACCCACAGCAGCCCTAGCTAGGGCGTAGGTCTTGATGGGAGCAGCTGGTGGATTTGAACCTCTGTCCTGATGGCTCAAAGTCAAGCACTTAAACAGTACCCCACCAAGGATCATTACTTTCATTTCAGTAGAAGACCCAACTGAAAATTAAATGTTTGAAAAGAATGTACGGCCTGCTACACAAGGCTGTTCCAGGCGCAGAAGCGACAGCATCCGCCCTGGTCTTTTTGAGAGATGGCAGGCTTCTTGCCTGTCCTGTGTTACTGAAGTGTCAACTTGACCCTGGAAAATCAGTCACTTAAGTGTTCAAGGTGGGTTTTGAGTATTGTTGTGCTTGCTGGTTTTGACTGTAGTGGTATAGCTTCTCTGACAGTGTTTTTCCTTCGTGGGTGGAAGGTGAATCTCACCATTTGTTCTCTTTTGGGTGAACAGATAGTGGAATTAAATTTGAAGACTGTCGTACCCTGCTGCAGTGGACCCAAAAGGCCTCAGGACAAAGTCGCCGTGTCTGACATGAAAAAGGACTTTGAGAGCTGTCTTGGCGCTAAGGTAGGGCCTTTGGAAGGCCGGGTCAGGTCCCCCCTGATGGGTCACCTCCCTCCCACCCTCATGGCTGGTTTCTGTGTGGCCAGTCTTCTTTTCACACTACTTCCTGACCAGGCCCTTCCTGCAGCCTGCCACTACGGGTGTCATTTCTCCGTTCTCCTTCATGACTCCCCACCATGAGCCGAGCGGCGTACTGAAGGCACGCGATGGTCTGTAAACACAATTCAACCCACCTTGTTGGCCATCCCCGTTTCTCATACAACTCCTGCCAACTTGTTCTTAGGATTCGCCCAAGTTTTCTGGCCATTGTTCTTGTGTTCATGTGCGCGTCCCACTCTCTGCCTGAATGTCTCTTCCAAGTCTGTGCGTGCCCTAGTCTCTCAGCTCCTCAAAGACTCAGGTCCGAGAGATCACAGCTCCTCTGCTCCATAACCTCTAAGAGTCAACGTTCCCTCCTCTGAGCCGAGATGTGCATTGAGCTGCATCCATGGGACACCAGCATTGTCCGCAATGTCCAGCTGTGTTTAGTTTGCATTATTGATTGTGATTAGTTGATTCAAGCCAAAATGATATAGTCTCCTAAATGTTTATGGTGTTAGAATCAGTAACCTCAGTAAAGCCGTCTATAGAGGTTTAAAATGTGTTGAGAACTTCACTTTGATATCTCTGTAACAGCTCAGAGCTTACTAGCCAAAATATTTGTGTTTTGTCTGAATCACGCCTTCAAATTATGATTATCCAAGTGTTTCTTCTTCTGAAGTGAGGATTTATAACTGCATATATTGTTTCCTTCCGATAGCAAGGGTTTAAAGGATTCCACGTCCCTCCAGACCGTCACAATGACCATCAGACCTTTATCTACAATAACAGTGAATTCACACTTGCTCACGGTTCCGTGGTCATCGCTGCCATCACGAGCTGTACAAACACCAGTAACCCTTCGGTGATGTTAGGAGCGGGTAAGTGCATTTGAATCTGTCCCCAGTGTCACGTGGGTGTGTACATGAACTCCTTCTCACGATGTGACCCAGAGGCTTATCTGTATCCTGCACAGATGTCGACCTCCCTAACCCTTGTCTTGTCCAGATGCAGAGGTTTACTGGCCCAGAAAGAGCTACCCAATAAATGTTAGCCAGTGAAAATATGTAAAGTAAAGCTCTGGTAACACATAGCATTCTTCCTCTGTGGCATTAACTCCAAATATAAGCAGAGGAAATCAAAGGAAGCCAGTTCCTGGTGAAGCAAGGAACGTTGTGTTGGACTCTGGGAGGAAAGCAAAATTGTTTTCATGTCACGGGCTTTGTTCTTTCTCTGTGGGGAAAAAACTGAACCCTGATAAGGCTTTTTCTCTCCCTCCTGCCTGCCCTTTCTTTTTCATCATGGAATTGAACACTGGCTTTGCATTGGCATGTCTCCACTGGGGTGCTGGGAGGATAAAACTCAGTGGACCTGACCTGTTACACAATTCTAGTTGAGTTAATGTTTCATGCCGGGTTTACACTTGTATGACGTCTCTTCAAGTCCAATGTCTGTCATCGCCAGAAGTCTCTACAGTGCACAGGGCAGGCAGTGTCAACAGTTGGTTCTCTGGCGCACGTAAATACCCCAGGGAAGCTTTCTTGGTCCAGGAGTTCATAGGTTGCTGCCTACGCTTTCTTTGCCTGGAGCAAACCAGTTTTCTTGAGACAGATCACCAGCATGCCCCTCCATCCCCCCACCCCGTCCCTCATTTCTATCCGACTTTTTCCAACTTCCATAATACTTCCTAAGACTTGACACTGGAGTTGCAGTCACAGCGTCTGTATTCGCCAAGAGACCAGTGGCCCAAGAACTACTGATTTTCTGCTTCAAGAATTATCAGTGGACAAGACTTTTCCAGCTAGGCTGACTGGATTCATCACCAGCTGGCATCCATGAACATATTTTCTAGAAAGACCCTTCCCATTTATAGTTTTTAAACAAATGAAACTCAACTAGAAAGATCACTTTTCTTTAAAAAATCAAAACCTCATTCTATAACCTAGACAGCCTTCAATCTCATGCTTTAAAAAAAAAAAAAAAAAGCCTGCGTGCATCTCTTTCTTCATTTCCATGACACATTTTACGTTCATTGCATACATGCGCAGGACTCGGGACCTGGGAGCGTTCGATTCCCGTCAGGGAGCAGAAAGTGCTTGCGTGAAGGGACTTTGTCAGCAGAGGTGGAAAAAGCAGACTGAAAAGCGCGTCTCCCTCCTGGGCTGTCCTGGCACCGAGAGCCACTCACGCTGTGTGTTCTGTTTCACAGGACTGCTAGCCAAGAAGGCTGTGGACGCCGGCCTGAACGTGAAGCCTTACATCAAAACCAGCCTGTCCCCTGGAAGTGGGGTGGTCACCTACTACCTGAGAGAAAGCGGAGTCATGCCTTACTTGTCTCAGCTTGGGTGAGGCCGGCTTTACCACTCGGTATCTTGCTACACCACCTTGTACGGATGAAGAGGATCTGTTAGGATCTGACTGCATCATCTTTTTCTCGGGTGCTAAGACTTCAAGGGCCAGAGTCCCTGGTGGTGCACATGGTTGTGCACGTTACCACTCCTAACCAAAGGGTTGGTCTTTTGAATCCACCCAAAGGCGTCGCAGAAGAAAGATCTGAAAACCCTATGGAGTGCAGTTCTACTCTGTACCACTAGGGGCGCCGTGGGTTGGCACCCTCTTAATGCTACATGGATTGGTTTTTACTTTTTTTTAAGTAAACTTAGAGCAGGGCCCCCCTGCACAATTGTGCTGGTTCTTTATCACACAAGATGCCCAGGGGGAGAGGGGTAAAGTCATGCATGTGCTGTGGGGTGCGCTGCATGCTCCTGGAGAAGGGGGCATCTTCCCTTGTGTGGACAAAAGTATGCTATGGGGCTCGAAGTAAGTTCTGTGACTCACAGTCTACCCTTTGGTGTAAAATTATTTTCCATGACTAGAAACATTTCTAAGTTCATGAGGTAAGTTATCCAGTTATTTGTTGCCTAAGTCATCTCCCCCAACTTTCCCATTCTTCCTTGTCTTCTCTTTGGACACATAGGTTTGACGTGGTGGGCTATGGCTGTATGACCTGCATTGGCAACAGTGGGCCTTTGCCTGAGTCTGTGGTAAAAGCCATCACACAGGTATTTATAGTCTGTGGGTCTCTGGCACTGTTGGGTATTGCGTCTGTTCTCATGCAATGTGGCATAAAGGTGATCATTTCAAGAAGGCCCAGGGAACTCAGGGGTGTGGTTTCAAGTAAAGTCTTAGGAGTCAAGCTAAGCTTATTAAGCTTCATAGCCTTGGGCTAATTAGCTTTCCTGTAACTGAGATGCTAATATTACCTATCTCACAGAGTTGTGAGAATACAATGTTAATGGAATTGAGGTGGTTAGCACAATGCTTGCCACATACGTTAAAACATAAATAAATAAAAATTATCCCTGCCATGGAGTCGATGCGACTGACGACGACCCTCATAGGGCAGGGTCGAACTGCCCCTGTAAGTTTCCAAGACGAGAACTCCTTCTGGGAGCTGAAAGCCCCGTCTTTTTCATGCCACAGAAGTTAGTCCCCAATAAGTGCTGGTTTTGCCTAACGGTCTCCAGAAGTGTTCACTCCTGGTAACTCCACGGTCCATTCAAAGTCAGGCTCATCTCCACGCAAATGAGTCTGAATCGCAATGGCTTTCTTTGGGCCCCCTGAAATTTGTAGGCTTGAGAAATCGTATTTGGTTTGTTTCACGTTGACTATAAAATCCACGGAGGTACTGCGGCTTCCTCCTACCTGTTCGTAGGCCTCGGACAGCAGTAACCAGGGTCTTCCTTCTGACTTGTAACCTGAGATTGTCTCACGTGCAAAAGCCAATGAACATGTCTGTTGGCCTCCTTCGACCCAGGGCCCATCACAGGGATGCCTCAGCGTAGTTGTCTTCCCTGCAGTGGGAGAGGATCCGGTGAAAGAGCAGCTTAACTCACTGTGTCCACGTGCTGTGAAAACGTCTGCAAACAGCCTTGGTGCCGGCTTCCTTTTGTGACCAGATGTTTCTCTTGTCTTTCTTCAGGGAGACCTTGTAGCTGTCGGGGTGCTGTCAGGGAACAGGAATTTTGAAGGTCGGGTTCATCCCAACACCCGGGCCAACTATTTAGCCTCCCCGCCATTAGTAATAGCATATGCAATTGCTGGAACCATCAGGATCGACTTTGAGAAAGAGCCACTGGGTAAGGCCCTCTGTTAATTTAGAAATACTACAAAGTTGTTGTTTGCCTTAAGAAAACAAAAATGAAACAGAGACCCTCCCAAGATACAGTGGAATACAGAATCGTTTCTGTAGTCCGCACTACAAAGCTAAGGTCTAGGTGAAATATACAAACTGCCTTAAAGGTAAAGGAAGCATATACCAGAGTAATAAGAGACCCTGCCATTTGACTTCTTGCAAGAGCTTCTCTGTCCATCTCCTGCTCCAGCCTGTTGTGATAGACATGGCTTTGATCTGTACACTCTGTATGTAAGCACATCGCAGGGGGAAGCAATGCCTCTAGTCTTCGTGCTTAAAGACTACCCGCCTCGGTCCACTCCGGCAGGTTAGAGAGTGGGAAAGCCGGTCCCCTTAAACTGACTTTAGGAAGTGAAAACTGTAGAGGTACGTGATCCTGAAAACGGGGTCTCAGAGGACGTGTGTCTCCTTAATGAACATGTCCCGACCCGTGTGTTCCCCGCCCACTGCCCAGGTGTAAATGCAAAGGGACAACAGGTCTTTCTGAAAGACATCTGGCCCACCCGAGACGAGATCCAGGCGGTGGAGCGGCAGTATGTCATCCCCGGCATGTTTAAGGAGGTCTACCAGAAAATAGAGGTAAGGTCCCTCGCTGCCTGTGCCTCCCGCAAGGATCTATCTAAGACACCGCCACCCCTCTGCGGCCCTTGACGCTCAAGGGTGCAGCAGGGAAAGGAACGCTCATTTCTTCAGATAACGAGGGACCAGATAACAGTCACGCTTCTAACACGTCGTCGCACATTTACTTCAGCCTCGTGGCCCCGGCTCGTCCCAGATTCGGATGGGCCTGTGGCGGCCTCGTAAACACAGGCCTCGAGGGACCTGCACTCCCCGGCCAGCCCTCCTTTCTCAGAATCGGTGGAGACACTCTGGGGTTGTGTCTCTGAGGCCCTGATGTCACTGTGGTGTCTCTGAGGTGGCTCCTTTGGCTGAGTTTCTCTCTCGGATTGCATTCTTTGGGTGCTATTTTTAAAAATGAAGGGGAGGAGGAAAAAGAAGAAGGAGAAAAAAAACCACCCGACTCAGGAGGAAGTGCCAAACCGCTGAATGAAATAAAACTTTCTGTGCATCTTTCAGATGGTGGGGGGCGGGGGGACCACAGGGAGAACATACGGGCCTCAGTATTCTTTTCAGGGACTGTGGGATATTAGTCCTGCTGCTTTCTGCCTTGGACGGGCCCAAGGGCCTCTGGGTGGGGCTGGCGGTTTGAAACGAGAGAGCAGATCCTAATCCAGCTCTGCACCCTCCCCCAGGCTGCTCTTTGAGCAATGGGACCAGTAGGAAGTTGGGCAGGCATTTAGCTGAGGGCAGTGTTTCCATCAGAGCCTGTACAGGATTCAAGCTGATTTTTAGGCACAGCTGGTGTCAGACATCGGTTAGTGTTTGTGGGACCTGGAACTCCATTTCCCCAATTGTCCACACAGTAAATAATCCTCCCCCACCCCTCACCCCCGTGGTACAGTCTTGAGTTTGTGTGTAAGTATACAAACGAGTCATCTCATATGATTAGGCAACAAATAACCCCAAACATATCGTATCATCTCACAGTGGCTCAGCTGGGTGTCTCTTCCATAAGGCTCCAAACAAGGGGTGTCATCCAGGGCTGCCGTCTCATCTGAAGGCTGAACTGGGGTAGCATCCATGTTTTTCAGCTCAGCCGTTGGCAGAATGGCTGGGCCGAGGGCCTCAGCTTCTCCCTGGCTGGAGGTTAGAAGCGTCCCTCTGCACTGGACAGCTCTCACCTTGGTAGCTGGTGACTCCCATCAAAGGGAGCAAGAGAGACGACAGCCAGCCTCTTTGTCACCTGATCTTCGAAATGAAGTGTTAGGTTCGGCCACCACTCAGACCACGTAAGAATAGAAATCCTCGGGGGCAGGACCAATGAAGGTCATCTGAGTGGCCCCCTGCCACCGTATTTTTAAGTTACTCACATGGTATTATCTTGGGACAAAGAAACTTTGGGGTCTTACTCATTTAGAATAAAAATGTTTTGCACCATACTCCCAACTTGAGTGTGTTTCACGGCTGCATGCTACAGTTTCCCTAAAGTGGCATGCAGTTGTGCCTGCCTTTTTGTCTTTTACAGACTGTGAATGAAAGTTGGAACACCTTGGCAGCCCCCTCAGATAAGCTGTATTTTTGGAATCCTAAATCTACCTACATCAAATCACCACCATTCTTTGAAAACCTGGTATGACTGTTTACTTTAGCTCTAAACAAATTTGAGTTCTTCCTAAGGGGTCTTTCCTTATAAAAGTGACCCGCCTTGTTACCCCAGGCCCTTGCTTTGATCACCCACACAATTCCAAGGAGATGGTGCTGGGGGAGGTATTTTAGGGAGCTGGGATACTGGGCGATAGTAAGCCTCACTTTTCTGTGGCTGTTGGTTCTTTGTGACTGTATGAAAACACTCGTGGTCAGCACCACTAGGGACAGCCTCGGTGAGCTGGAGGCCTGCAGTGTGCACGTAACAGGCCTGTCAAATTCTTCCCTGAAAATGTTGATCTCGGAGTCCGTGGCCCCTGGCTGGATCCCTGTGGGAGGGGTGGGCTTGGCCTCAGCATCTGAGAAGGTCTGCAAGGGTGAGGAGACAATGCCATTTGCATCCCTGTAGCTTTGAAGGGGATCGGACCAATACTTGGCACGTCCTCCCTGGGTGATATTGGGACTCTTTAAAGTTTCCTTATTTTTCTAAGCGTTCCTGATAAAAAAAACAACAGAAAACTAGAATTTCTTGTACTTGGATGCAGGGCTGTGGTCCGGTTCAGGTCCGTGATCTGCCACTGTGGAGGCTCGCCTAGGCACCTGTTGGAGAAAACATGCACCAGCACTGACCTCCTGTACACTCTCTTGCAGACTTTGCATCTCCAGCCCCCTAAGTCTATAGTAGATGCCTATGTGCTCTTAAATTTGGGAGACTCGGTAACAACTGACCATATCTCCCCAGCTGGAAATATTGCAAGAAACAGCCCTGCTGCTCGCTACCTCACTACCCGAGGGTAAGTGTGAGGGAGGGGGCAAAGACTCAGGGCAGCAGTAAGGGAACCAGTCTTTCTTCTCGCTTGTGCAGCTCCTTGTAAGCAGACCCTTGGGTTTCAGTGAACCATCCAGTTTGAAAACCATCTGCTCTTTTTGTAGCTGCTTAGGAGCTTCTGTGGGAGACTCCATCAGCCGGGAGGAGCAGGGCGGCATTCTTTTTGAGCAAGGATACGCACTGGACCCAACTGATAGCCCTGCTCCCACTTTGGGTGATTGCTAAAATACAAGACTAGGCCCTTCACCTGTGGGGCAGGCTGGCTACATTTCAGGCGTACGGCGGGAATATAAGCGGAGCTTTATTACCATGTCCAGATTGAGAGGGTTCGCGTCGATGAAGGACCGCCTCCAGGATTTCCAGTTCTCCCGTGCATTGCTCCATCCCTCAGTCATAGATGGATCTTTCTTGGTATTAGATCAGCATTGTCTCTTGTAACTGCCACACCAAGATTGAGCTGATCAGTGCTCCCACATCTGACTTTACATAAGAACTACCTGAGGAGAAAAAATTCCTGGTTCCCATACCTGCCTCTTGAAAAAGCTTCTACAAGGATGGGATCCAGGGAACAGCTTCCAGGCAGTCCCAGTGTAAATTTGAAGACTAGAATACGGACACCTCTACTTTAAGTTGGTGATGCTTGGCCTCTTGAAGGAATTGAATGAAAGTAAATATAACTCCTGCCCAGAAAAAAAAAGTATGTATCTATTCCTCTAGGATAGAGTAGAAGACCCGATGGGTTTCCAAAATGGTAAATCTGCATGGGAGTAGACAGCCTCATCCTTCTCGTCCCTGCCTCACTGTGAATCGCGTGCTCTTCTTCCTGACGTGACACAGCTTCCTGCCGTTGGTCTCTGTCTGGCTTCAGGGTCGGTCATCTCCAGCGGCCTGCTCCTGTGCTTCTTTGCTCTTAAGCTTATGAAAATGACCAGTGATGTTACACGGAGGTCCTGGTGGCTTGGGGACAACGTTGAACCTCTCTCCGGCTAGTTTTATAGAACATTCTTGGTGTCTCCTCCCACCCCTACCCCCCACCCCACCCCACATCCTACCCGCTCCACTGCATCGGGTCCGTCTCCCCTGAGTCTTTGCCTTCCTTTTGTTATCGCACTTATTTTTTCATGTATTTTAGATTTTTATCCTGTCTGACATTTTAAAAGCTCCCTGGCTAGATAAGCAAAATGAATACTCTCCTGATTAGGATTCCCCTGGTTGCCCCCCCTTACCTCCCTCCCCCAGGTTTGTCAGACGTGAGCTGCCCTGGGAGAGGGTTGGGTTTTGCCCTCCACCAGCATCACGTCCACGCAGTAGAAATCACTTTCCTACCTTGGGGAATAATGCTAAATCGGTTGAGAGAAAATACCTAGGTTGATTTATTTTTCCCTGTTTTGGTATAAGCTTAGCTTACCCTCCATTCACTAAACTAGCTTCCTCTTTTTAGCCTAACTCCACGAGAGTTCAACTCCTACGGCTCCCGCCAAGGTAACGACGCCATCATGGCACGGGGGACGTTTGCCAACATCCGCTTGCTCAACAAATTTTTGAACAAGCAGGCGCCACAGACCATACATCTGCCTTCTGGAGAAATTGTGAGTATCGCCGCTGCGGCTTCCAGAAAGCAGCATTGTCAGGCTCTGCGAGGGGGGACTGCATGTGTGTGTGGTTATTTGCCTTGTGCTTTTCATTTTTCTTCACAACCCTGACCTACTTATGGCTTCCTGTAGGCCCGTTTGGCAGGTGTCCATGTGTAGGATGATGCATTTTCACTTGCAGAATCTCCTCTTCCCACTGGGTGAGTGTGTTAGTCCGGGTGGACCAGAGAAACAAATCCAGAGACACTCCTATGTGTATAGGAAAGAGCTTATATAAAGAGTAATTGTGCATTAAGAAAACATCCCAGTCCAGTCCAGATCAAGTCTGTGAGTCCAATATTAGCCCATATGTCCAGTACCAGTCTGTAAATTCCTCTTCAGACTCACACAACACATGCAATGACACCGAGTGCAGGAAGATCATAGGCCAGTGGGTGGAAAGTCTTGTGGATCCAGTGGCAGTGGTACAGTATAGCACCAATGAAACACACAATATTCCTCTGGTTCCCTGAGGCTTCCTCACCCTCCACTATCATGACCCCAGTCCTGCCTTTCACTGCGGGCTAGAGCAGAGTATATGCACAGGTACAGATAAGAGATAAGAGCTCACAACTCACGGAGTCCAGGAACAAATATGGGAGTAGCAATACTCGGAGGGTAGGGGGAAGGTGGGGGGAGGAAGAGGGAACAGATCACAGTGATTGACACATAACCACGCCCCACCCCCACCCCACAGTAGGATGAACAAAAGAAACCATGGGGGAAAGGAGATATGAGAATACTGATCATTTATAATTTATCAAGGGGTCACGAGGGGGGGAGAGGAAAAAAGAGGAGCTGATACTAAGGACTCAATAGAAAGCAAATGTTTAGAAAATAATGATGTACAAATTTGCTTGAAAGAAATCCTTGTCATAATCGGAAATTGAGGGAGAAATTAAGAACATACACAACTCTTGAATATATTTAAACCAGTGAATTATGGGATACGTCACAATTATATGTCAATAAAACTGTTTTAATAAAAAAAGAACTAACAGTATAAACAATACCGAGTATAGAGGCAAAATAGCGGAAGAAAGAGCCACATGTTTTGCCCGTCTTCTTAGAGACTACCGGGAGCTGTTGTTTTATAAAGCACTTCGCCCCCTAAGTATGGCTCATGTAATCAAAAGGCATGCGGTCAGAAGTGCAGGCCTGCTTAGTGCTTCTGATCTTAGGCATTAAGATCCCCTTTGCATTGGAGCGTTGGCACCTTTAAAAAACGCGTTCTAAATATGCAGGCTTGTAACAGATCTCTCTGAAAGTACCTTTTATATCTTTCTGGTCCTCGAAAGGCTCAGACGATTCCGTTGGGCCAAAGGAGGCACTTACTGTCTCGGTAATGATTTCTCTCTCCTTGGGTTCTTGCCCACCTGGATTCGAGGGATGCCGTTTGAAGTTGACTGAGGCTCCAGCAGCCTGCCAAATTACTAATTCGTGAAAACACTCAGAGGATAGTTACAACCCTTTCTTGAGCTCCTTTCAAATGAGAGACTCTCTTTTGAGGAATTTTATTATCTGGCTTCACGTAGCCAGGAAAAATCACTGTTCCACTGCGCATCACCAGGCACCAGTGATGGCATCGCGGTCTAAGAGCTGGCTCAGCTGAATGCTCACTGTTAGTGTGAGAAACAAGCGAATCTGACTTGTGTAAGAAGTTCTTGGTGCATTAAAATGTTAATCTTTTCTTATCCTTTATTGATTTCTAATTCCATATGTTCAGCTGTACCTGCCCTTGACCTCCATGTAGAAGGGTAATTTTTTTAAAAAAAAGAAGTATATTTTAAGCTTTAAAATA